AGAAAAGTGTAGCGACACATGTAAATTGAAAATGAACCATCCACGAGTTATTCCAATAGATAGTATCAACTATGGGTTAATTGCATGGTTGGTCACTGAGATTACAAAAAACGTTTAAGCTTGATCACTCGAAATATTTAAATCCATTGGTGGTACTTCAGTTTACTGAAACCGTTCACTTTTGGTCGCTCTCCGTCCAACTCCGTTAACTTTAGTTGATGTGGCAGTCAACTCTCAAAGTTGACCGTTAACTTAATGACGTGTCAATTAAGAAATAATAAATAAAATAAAATTTAATCTATTTTAATGACAAAATCATTTTTACCATAAAATTTTATAAGTAAATAAAATAAAAATTATTATAATTATCAAAAGAAGAGGTGCACCCGATGGTCCCGCCGCCGTGCTCGTAGCCTCCGCCGCAAAAGGGTGCTCGGCGCTATCCCAAGCCGGGCGTTCCAGTTATCGTCGCTACTCTGCTCCAACTCCACAACCGAGAAACAGGAAACAAAGAAACCCTAAATCGCTAGAACAACAGAGACTCTCAACTTCACTGCAGTTCAATTCTAATTCAGCCATTGTATTTGACTTCATTGGATGATAATCAGACAAAGTCTGGAATTTCGAAGATCCTTTGGCAGTGGGAGAGCGAGTCGGAAGCTACAGGGAGAGATCGATCGGGTACTGAAGAAGGTCCAAGAAGGTGTAGATGTCTTTGACAGCATCTGGAACAAGGTCTTGCCTCTGCTCTCTCCTCCTAGTTCTCGCTTCCATCCCTAGTTCGTTTCCTTCTTCTTGCCTTCCACAGAAATTTCAATTGTGCGACTGGGATATTTTGTTGTTTTCTATGAACTGTGGCTTGGAATGCCGGAATGGAGTTGGCAATGGAGAGATAAAGCAGGCTATAAAAGCACTCCATTTTGAATTCTTGACTGTAGGAGTTCGTGTTGGTTTTCTCGGCAATTAGGAATTAAATTTTATTTTCTTTATTATTTCTTAATTGTCACGTCACTAAGTTAACGGTCAACTTTGAGAGTTGACTGTCACATCAGCCAAAGTTAACAAAGTTGGACAGAGAGTGACCAAACGTGAACAGTTTCAGTAAAATGAAGTACCACCAATGGATTTAAATATTTCGAGTGACCAAACTTAAACGTTTTTTATAATCTCAGTGACCAAACATCCAATTAACCCTATCAACTATCAACCGAACAAGATGGTTTGATAGTCAAGGGTCCGGATAGAATAACAACACCTTTAGTGTTGTTATTATAACAACAGGGGTAAAAATGGAAACTCCTATAAAGTAATAAATAAAAAATTCAATTATTAATTGCCCCACCGGCCCACCCCATACCCTTCTCTCTCCCCACTCGATTCTTCTTCTCCCCAGTTGTCAGCGCCATCGCACCAGATCTTCAGCCGACTTATGAGAATGGAGACCGGCTACTCTTCACCTCTCTGTATCTCCACATCTCAACTCCGGCCGTCGTTCTCAGGTCTCGATGAGATCTACAACATGATAAAAATCGCCGCCCCGATCTCCTCCTCCCCAACCAGATCCTGATCTATTCCCGTCGACAACTTCTCCTCCACGTCGGGATTGCTTCTCTCCACTCCGCCAGATTCCCAACGACCACAATCTCTCCAATAGCACCAATAATCGTCGACGATTGAGCCAACGACGAGAATAGGGATTGAATTGGCGAAAATGGCTGGAACAGACGACGAGAACAGAGACTGTGGAATCCACAATAAGAGTATAGGATACAAAGAAGGTGAAGTCGGCGCTAGTTGTGTGGTCTTTCTCCTGCAATGACGATGATCGGCGAGGCGTCGACAATGTTGCGGTGATGATGACGGAAAGGGCGAGTGCCACTAATTGCCACTTGGAGCAGCTGGAGGTTCATGAGATTGCAGAGTTGTGTCGGGATCTCGCCGGACAAGCCGTTGTTGCCGACTCGCAACATGGTGAGATTGGAGCAGGCAGAGAGGTTCGGCGGGATGGTGCCGGAGATTGAGTTTTGGACTAGCACGAGCTGCTGGAGGCTGGTGAGGCGGCCGATTTCCGGCGGGATTTCGCCGGAGATGGTGTTGTTGTTGAGGATGATGTGGGTTAGGAAGGACAAGTTGCCGATGTGTGGGGAGATGGAGCCGCTGAGCTGGTTTAGCTTGAGGTCGATTTGGGTCACCCTCTGTTCGGTTTCGTTGTTGCAGGTTACTCCCTGCCATTGGCAGAAATGGAGGGTTTGGTTCCATGAGCTCAGAGCTCCAAGTGGGTCTATGAGTGTGGATTTGAGTTGGAGGAGTGACAGTATATCGGTTTCGTTGCCGCCGTCGCTGGTCGCCGGTAGGATTTGGGTCTGAGAGAGTAGAAGAAGGAGAAGGGCTAGAAGAGGGGCAGAGGAAATGTCGACCATGTTTGTTAATCTTTTAGAGGTTTGTTGTGTGCAGAACATATGTGGGAAGCTTATCTTAAATGGTTATGATCAGTGGATTGGGAGGAAGCATTGACAGAGTAAGTAAGCAATTAAAAAAAAATGGTTGTTTGTAGACGCCGAAAATCTCCTAGTGCAAACCACAAATGCAATAAAAACAATCCAAAAAATATACTGGAAACCTCCTAATGCAAACCACAAATTCGCTAAAACATATCAGAAACCTCACAAAGCAAACCATAAATATTTTGAAAAGCACACCAGAAACCTCCTAATGCAAACCACAAACACGGTAAAGCAAACCAAGAACGTCCTAATGCAGACCATAAATATATTAAAACAAACCAGAAACCTCGCAAAGCAAACCACAAAAGTTTCGAAAGCACACCAGAAACTTCTTAATGCAAACCAGAAACCTCCTAATGCAAACCACAAATCTCCTAAAACAAACTAGAAACCCCACAATGCAAACCACAACATTTGCGAAAGCACACCAGAAACCTCATAATGCAAACCACAAACACAGTAAATCAAACCACAAAAAGGCAAACCAGAAACGTCCTAATGCATACCACAAATATATTAAAACAAACCAGAAATCTCACAATGCAAACCACAAAATTTTTGAAAGCAAACCATAAACGTCCTAATGTAAACCACAAATATATTAAAACAAACCAGAAACCTCACAATGCAAACCACAAAGTTTTTGAAAGCAAACCAGAAACTTCTCAATGCAAACCACAAACACAATAAAGCAAACCAGAAACTTCTTAATACAAACCACAAACACGATAAAGCAAACCACAAAAGGCATACAAAAATATGAGAAACCAAACCATAAATCTCACAATGCAGACCATAACATCCGGTGGTCGTTGACCGTTGACCGGTCAACGAAGTTCGTTGACCGAACTCCGGTGACCATTAGTGAGTAGATTCCGACGCCGATAGGCATATTCCGGTCCCGATGACTAGATTCCGATTCCGGTAAGCATATTCCGACCACGGTGAGCATATTCCGGCGACGGTGGCATATTCCGATGACAAAATAACATATTCCGGCGACAAAAAAGCATATTCCGGTGACCGGCGACCAGATTCCGGCGACCGGTAGCCGAATTCCGGCGACCAAAATTTTGGGACGAAAAATAATAAAATGTTTTTTTATTTTTTATTTTTTTATTTTTTATTATTTAAACCTATTTTCATAATGACAATTATACCCCTGCTTTGATTTTACACTAGGTCAACTCATCTAATAAAAAGTCATCACAATCCTAGCTTCCTATTGGTTGGAGACTAGTTTTGTTACAATAACAACAAAAGGAGTGTTGTTATAGTATCTAGTCCCGATAGTCAACCACTCAAGATGACGGTCGCTGGGCCTATGGCAGACATAAGAGAGACGACCAGCTCGGTGGGCTGAGTAGATGAGCCCACATCTGCTAAGATAGCCGGTGGCAAAGTAGGCCCACTGATGTTGGGGGAAGCTGGAGAACGAGCCAGATCTTTGGCCATAACTAGGGCTGAACAAACACACCCGCAAACCGACCCACTCGTCCAACCCGACCCAACCCACCAGTATTTATCGCTAAATCGAAGGTTTTGGGTTGGGTGAGGGTTTTTTTTTCTACAACCCGCCTCTTTTGGGTTGGGTTTGGATTTTGGATTACACAACCCGTAGAACCCGACTCAACCCATGTTCCAATTATTGGTATAAGTTCGTATCCAAAAAAATATTTATGTCGTATATAGCCATACTTATGAGAAAATTAAGATATTTCGCCTTGTTTTTCTCTTAAGCTCTCACTAATTTAATGCATTCTTCGACTTAAAGTTTAGACATAGATTTAATATAGCTAAGATTCACGTAATTCTTTTTCTTGTGTACAATTTTAAAAGAATATCATATTATGGATGTGTTCATTTGTAACCTTTTTAGCCTATTTCAACAAATGTCGTGAAAAAAACTAGACATAAGTTGAAGTAAATCAAGTTTTATTAAAATTCAAACAATATTTGTGAATTTTGATACCTTTCACCTCGGTTTATTCGTTTGAATTTTTAATTTGCTATAAAATATTTTTATGATGTAGAATAATTACATATTTTGTATTGGGTTGGGTTTTTACTTAAAAATATCGCCAACTCGACCCAACCCAATTAGAAACAAATCGTAGGGTTTACATTTTTTTGGATGGGTTTGGATTTAATATTTCTCAAACCGTAGTGCATGAATCGGGTGATTAAAATGCCTAAACCCGGACCACCCGACCCATGTATACCCTAACATAACCTTCCATTCTCATCTCCGCCTTGCCCCGAAGATTCAGGGCTTGTGTTGTTCCCACTTGCGTTGCGCCCCACAGATCCATTAAATACTTACAGCTGACGGAAACGTGGGCACCAGTGAAATCATCAACCTAACACAGAAGATGAGGACAAGTTCGGTAGGGAGCAGTAAGCTACTGAGATTCGTTTCTCCAAACCAACCAGTACCTGCATTCGTCAGATAGCCACATGACTTGTTCAATGCCACATTCCACCAATACGATGTTTGAAACCAGAATCTGATGTCTTCAGAATATACCAGTAAAGCTGTCCTAAAATACCCACGTTTTCCTTCACAAATTTGCTAGCCAATGACAAATTGCTTCTTCCTTTGCAGTTGTTCTATATACACAGTATGTGCTTCATTATTATCCAAATTACAAAGTCAACCTTTGTGTGTGACTATGTACTTCTATCCTGTCCACCTGATGTTTTCCTACTTACCATCTTGTGAAAAGCTCAAAAATCCCCTCCTGAGAAAAGATAGGATTCGGTATGTTACAAACCAAATTAGCCTGTACACTGCGGTATAACAAATATGCCGTTCGTCTAACCTTCTACCATCAACCACAGCATGATGATCGAGGATGTTGCGATAGAGACCCAGCTGAGGAAAGCCAAAGCCACTGCCATTTGGTACTTTTGGCATTCTCCAACGAAACCGCAGTGTCCCAGGTCATGAAAAAGAAGTACGGTGATGCCGGCGGAAGCAGAAGCCGCCGCCAGAGACAAGGTTGCCGTCACCTGTTTATCAGCATTAGCAATTAGCAGAGTCTGTGTTAATGAAACCACAATCATCTATATTATGAAGGCGGCACTGGATTTCAAGTAGCAGAGTTTTGTTGGAGGGTACTAACCCAATCTCCCACAGCAAAAAGGCTGACCAATAGAGAGTTGTGCAGAATTTTGCCTCTCACCAAAGCATAAGAATCTAGCAACGCAAGTCCAAAGCTCCAGATCACTTGCAAACCCATTGACGCAATTAGGTAGCTGCAGAATTAGTAAAAGCAAGTCTCAGAGTTAAAGAAGTCTTGAAACTCCCAAGTTTTTCGAACTGCAGACGGAACATATTTTGCATCCACAAGCTAGACATCAATTCACTATTTTGCTCTGTGACTGCTGATTCTTGTGTCTTTAACAATTTACAAACCGTAACCATGATGTTAGAATTGCTTATGAAGTATGATCATTTTCATAACTTTTGATCCATTCATTGCCAATTATGCAGCACATCTGTTCTCCGTTATCCAAGAGAAAATGTCCTCAGCCTCCGTTGCAACATCAATGAGCTCTTTTTTTCTTCAATATTATGAAAAACATGGCAGAACCAACTACAAGCCATCAATACATATTGAATATGATTCTTGCTGCACTATGTATCAGTGAACTAGAGACTTAGATCAGCAGTTGGTAGTCCGGATGTGGAGATCTATACTCTATTCACAAGCCATTGATCACACTTCAATCTTCCTTAAACAGTTAATCCAGATCCAAAGCACCGGATTGCAACTTACATACCATTATAACTGATGCCATTTATTTCGCATAAAATTGTTGCATGTCACAATTACCAAGAAATAAACCAATTCTTAGGAAATGTAGCTTTTCAAAAAGTTAGCAATTTCGTCATCCTTCAATTAGCTTGCACGAATCGAGTTTTCTACTTAACTTTGTTCAGGTTCATTCAATCTTTACCTTTGCCGAATCATACAAGCAACCCAAATAGCATAATTGAGGAGAACAAGAGAGCCGAAGAATACCAGAAAGCAGTGAAGTTGAAGAAGCTAGAAGTGGTGGAAATAGCAGTGATTGACCCAGCCGCAAACACACATTGAGAAATCCGCAGGAAAAGCCCGGTCAAAGTCCCCGGCGTGCCAGCAAAATCCCTCATTCCCTGCCTCTGTGGTGTCCTCCGCCAACTCCAATCGACAAGAATTTCAACTGGCTAATGGGTTGATCGACGCAGCCATACCCCGGAACATTCAAAACCGAGGGGGAAAAGGAGGGCAAAGTAACAGCTCTGTGTTGGTTCAGACAATTACACGAACACCTACCGGGCACAGCTAACAATTAGGCAGACACCCCAAGGTGGTGACAAAGGAGAAAGCTTTGGCGGTGCCCAGAAACAGAAATTGGATTATTGAATGTGGGTAGGTAAGGAATTGACGGGCAGAGAAGAACAGAGGGCTGCAGATGCGGACAGGAGATGCAACAAAGTGGGGAAGGAAAGAGGCGAGAAGAGAAGAGAACAGTAAACTGGAAAACAGGTAGCCAAAAGGAAGAAGGTGGGCAGATTTGAGAGTACATCAACAAATAAATAAATTGTTTTGTAATACCTAATTAATTAACTAATTATTACTAGGAATCACAATCGAAAATGAAAATATCGTGTTTGGAGTTTGGACCCAAACCAAACCAAAGCTCTGCTTTTTGCCTCTTTCCCAACGCTTGCAACAGTCAACTGACACGAAGGCCCTATCCTTTTCCGTCGTGGGAATCATTTCTTGGCTTGCCTTTGCTCTTTCCTTAATCCTTGTAAATTTGGAGTGAAGAAAAGAGTACAGACACATACTAGAATTGACTGGTCTCCACTCGCTCATGAATCATTGACTCATGTCATGGGGCATCAAATTTCCGAGCAACACAAGTAACCCATTTGGTGTATGCATCACTTTCCTAACCAAACAAACAGAGATATCATTTTACTTTAGAACTACGCATTCTCAAGTGCCGAGGTCCCGGCATTTAGTAATGAGATCATGTGCATACAGAGCCGTCATGCTATACTTTAGTAGCTGCTGCAATCACGCCCTGAAATGGGTTGATGCAGAAGTCCCATCAAGACTCTTGGAGTGACATCAATCCAATGATTTTGGTGAAGAATCTGAAGCTCTCTGATATGGTCCTGGACTAATACGGTGAGGAAATCAGGATCAGATTGCTTGGTGGTGCCTGTGATTATGTGCAGTTGTAGGCAGATCAAGTTAATGTCGAGCGACTCATATAGTAACTCGAACAGAATCGTTTCGAGTACTTCATGGTCAATTCACACGGATCTAGTCGTTCCAGATCCATTACATTAGGAACTTTTGACTTTCTAGAAATTACCATTTGAGCAAAACTATTTTTGGTGGGCTAAAAAGCCAAATCTTGCTCCAAAATTCAGTTTTTTTTTAGCTTTCCCTTTGAAGATGATTTAAGGAGAGTGATTCATTCACCTGTTTCCTTCCATTCAAATTCCTGACAATATTTACATGGAGATTGCATACGACATTGTAGAAAGTGGAAAGCTAGGAAATTACAGAGACCAAATGTCCCTGATTACCAAAGGGTATTTATTCTTTCTCGTATATATGTGCCTGTTCATTGGTTCTTCTGACCGGACCTGCTTTCATCGTCAGATCTCAGAGTCTGAAATGCTCAAGGGCGGAGATCCCATTAAGCCCTTTTGCATAGTAGTATTTAACAAATTCCTTCACCGCAGTTTTCCTGAAAACTGGGGGATTCTCTTCAGATACCAGCTCCTTAACCGGACCATAGACCCTAGAGTTCTCAGGTGGCAGCTGCTGCCTCAGGAAACAAGCCACCGAAACTCTTGGGCCTATAAACTTCGTCAGAACTCTGTGTTGAGAGCTTTTGAATTCGTCGTTTGAGATAAGCTGCACACATGTCCACAGATTGAGAAAAACTGAAAAAGTGATCAGATATAAAGCTCAATGAGATTGATAACTAACCATTGTAGTGACTGTCCAATTTTTATTTACCTGCAACAAGTCTCCCACGTTTATCACAAGAGCACTAGTGTTGGGTTCCACATCAACCCAATGATTATCACATTGAACTTGGAGACCACCAATTTGGTCTTGCAGAAGCACAGTGAGAAAGCTGCTATCAGAGTGGCTGCTGATTCCCATTGTCAAATCCGGTTCAGGACAAGCTGGGTAGTAGTGACCGAAAAACATCAGTCCTTCAGAGCAACCTATATCGTTAAGGTAACTGGGGTTCAGCCCCAGTGCTTCGGACAACAATACGAATAGCCTCCTTGCCAATAACATTACTTGGGTCGAGTAATCAACCATCGTCTCCCTGCCCAAACAACAAGAATAGATCGATTAGAATTCGCAGGACCTCAGAACAGAGTTTTTCATAACCTCCATCTACCCCCAAATTTGGGTTTGAATGGATCTTCAGGGGTTTACCCGCAAACTTGAGGGAGTTCTTTAGGGTTTGGTGGGCGAGGAGCCATGACACAGCTCACGGTATCCCTCCAATTGACAGCCGGCGACTGATAGAAATCGAAGTTGCAGTTGTAGGTCAAAGTCTTGCTGTAGTCCCTGGTGTAGAACCCTTTCTTCACTTCAGTCTCTAGTTCGTGGAAACCCTTCACCCCTTCCATCATCTTGTTCAGGAGGGTTGTGGGTATTGTCACGGACATAGACTTCCGAAGTCCGTGCGGCGTCTTGAGGTGCACTCATTCCTCAAGACCAGCCTCTCTGCATACGCATGCCAACTGGTTTCGCCCTGCCTTGGGCTCATCAGGGAGACGGCAATAGCCTCCGACCAGTTGTGCCTTCTCTTGCAACGATCCCCTTCATAGCCACATCCTGACTCGGCTAGATGCGATGCACAGGCAGACAACGCCTTATCGCTAATGTCGCCCCCTTTACCCTTCTCATGGCAAGACAACCAGATGGCAGCGTTCTTCAGACGATCAACACGGTCACGACATTTCGGGTCGTGACATTCTCCACCACTCATAATGCAGCACGTCCTCGTGCTGGTGAAGAATGCTTCTCTCCGCAGCATGTATTGCAACTCTCGAACAGATTGTGGGCGTCCGCATACGATACCATTCTCTGATGGACAGGCTCCGGTCGCGTCTCTCGCGCTAGCCTGCTGTGCCCCGCGCACATACCGTTTCGCCCCTCGACATCAACCTTCACTCTTTGCTTCTGCTGCGCTAGTACCTCAGTCGACCTTCACCCTACGCTCTAGCTAGCGTTAGTTCCTCGGTTGAACGGCATTCTCGGCCGCCGCATCTTCAGCCTGTCGAGGTCCCCCACAACGGCGCAACACATGTGTATCTGCGTCCGGACCGCCTGATATGCTCACCTAGGACCGCCTCTCATTCGGGCATAGGGTCGGCCCATACACGACCTATGCCGTACTGAGAGAGGAACTAGGCTCTTCAGCCTAACCAGGCTCTGATACCATTTGTCACGGACATAGACTTCCGAAGTCCGTGCGGCGTCTTGAGGTGCACTCATTCCTCAAGACCAGCCTCTCTGCATACGCATGCCAACTGGTTTCGCCCTGCCTTGGGCTCATCAGGGAGACGGCAATAGCCTCCGACCAGTTGTGCCTTCTCTTGCAACGATCCCCTTCATAGCCACATCCTGACTCGGCTAGATGCGATGCACAGGCAGACAACGCCTTATCGCTAATGTCGCCCCCTTTACCCTTCTCATGGCAAGACAACCAGATGGCAGCGTTCTTCAGACGATCAACACGGTCACGACATTTCGGGTCGTGACAGTATCCCGTGATTGATTACCTGGAAAAAACCCCATCTCCGGCAGGCGTCATTCACTTGCCAAATCACCCGGCGGCGGAGATTTGGGTCTCCGTCGACGCCTTGCAAGTCAACGGTAGGGATTACTGGTAGCTCCGACTCGGTGTGCCCTGGAGTTGATTGGACGGAAGCTGCGTTGGGCCGTGAGTGGAGGAAGATCGGCGGGATTTTTGCGATTCCAGCGTCTACGAGACCCTTGACGCCGGCTTTTGTGTCGTCGAAGGCCTTGAGGGCAGTGTCCCGATCGAAATCGGAGCTCTCTGGTTCAGTTTTGGTTACCATATTCGGCTTCGGAGTAAAGGATCCACACAGTAATTGCAGTTCAATTATGTAGGTCTTTGGAGTGCGACAAACAAAACTTATGCATGGCAATTTTACAGTTTTATTCGATTTGTTTTTTAATGAAGTGGATATAGGTATTTTCATCCATTTGACATGTCTAGTTTTGATTTATTTTCGTCTAAATTACATGTAATTTTATATAAATTATTCAATATTTTACTTTTATTATTTTACATTTTAGCTATAATAAAATTGTCAATATGTGACCTTAAAAAAAATTGTCTTTTTTTTTTGCCATTAGATAGCTCGTATTATCGAGAAACAAAAGATATATCGTCTGAAAACAATTAAAGTGACCGCAGCCACGCAACAAAATCGAAACCCACCAACAATGGTAGACTCAATAAAAGGGCTTTCCTTGCCACCAGATGGGTAACCATGTTTCTAGAACGACCAATAAAAGTGCAGTCAAAATGCTGAAATGACGATCGGAGTAGCTGAATCTCCTGAAGAACAACTCCCCCAACTGCATCATGAACCTCACCCTCCATAACTTTCTTAAGCACCACCCACGCATCTCCTTGGAAGACGACTGAAGTCCACCCTCTATCCGCACACCAACGAACTACATCCCGTAAAGCAAGCAACTCAACTAGAAATGGTTGAAACACACCAGAGTAATGCCGAGCTGAACTCGCAATGATCGATCCTCCCCCATCCTGAACAACCCATCCTCCTGCCCCACAAGACCCATCCTGCACTGCACCGTCAACAAAACAAAGTAAAGCACCCGGCACATGACCTCCAAGCGGGGCCGAAATGGACGGAGGAAGCGGACGCGGAGCAACCTCCCGAGGATTGTCAATCCATTCATTCACCTGCAGAGAGAATTGAAAGGCTAGAGTAGGAGGCAAGACTTGAACAAAATAAAAAACCACACTATTCTGCGATTTCCAAATACGCCAAAAAAGAGCAACCACTTGCATAAGCTCAACAGTACCAAAACTCGGCCGCTCCAACACCCTCCACCAAAACATAGCTATACTCCCCGTGGGTAACCCTTCCTGCAAATGTTGTAAACCTGTAAAATCCCAAAGGATACCAGCCACAGGACAACGAAAGAAAAGATGCTCCACCGTCTCCTCCTCCTCCCCTAAGCAAACTGGACAAACCCACCCATCCCCAATCCCCCGCACCCGAAGTGCTTCCCCTGTTGGAAGCACCCGTCTTAGCATTTACCAGGAAAAAAATCGGAGCTTGGGGGGATAGGCAGACCCCAGACTTTCCGCCACAACCCTCTATCAAAAGGAGAACAAGAATCTCGACAGAAACGAGGAGGATGCCTCAAGGACTCTGCAGCCAAATGATAACCCGATTTAACCGAATACACACCAGATGCCCCAGGGTGCCAGACCAAACGATCCTTAAGGGGGAAACAGGACAAAGGTATAGCCAGAATAGCATAAACAGTTTCCGCAGGAAACAACTGGTTCAAACGATCAAGACGCCAGGCCCCCTGACCATGGTAAATCAAAGACGACACAATTACCTGCTCACCAACCACCCCAGGCCGCAAACTCGGAGGATGAGGGTGCAGCTGGGGTACCCAAGAAGCTCATGTCACCGGAATAGAATGTCCCGAACCCACCTGCCAGCGTAAGCCCCTCGAAAGCAACTCTCAACCAAACAAGACACTCCGCCAACCCCAAGATGGGAGAGAACCTTCACGTGCTGCCAGGAAAGAAGAATTAGGAAAATACTTGCCTTTATAAATCCTAGCAATCAGAGAATTTGGATCCTGCAAAATACGCCACCCTATTTTTGTTAAAAGAGCTTGGTTGAAAGCCTGAAAACCCCAAAAACCCAAACCCCCCTCTTCCTTGCTAAGGCATAAAGTCTTCCAGGCCACCCAATGAACCCTTCGTTCCTGCCAAGTGGCCCCTCCACCAAAAGCGAGCCAAGTGCCTATCCAGGTCTCTACAGGTAGCGACTGGCAGCCGAAAGCAGGACATGACATGAACCGGCAACGCATTAGCCACAACTTTGAGAAGAACCTCTTTCCCAGCCCAAGACAAGCACCGTTGTTTCCACCATGTAAACGCTGCATAACCCGTTCTTCAACAAACCTAAAAGTCTCCACGTTCGAGCGGTGAATAAAAGAAGGCAATCCCAGGTACTTATCCGAGACCCCCACCGCCCCACCCCCAACTGAGTAGCCATAGCAACCTGCTGATGCTCCAAAACATTCTTACTGAAAACAACAGTTGACTTCTGCAGTTTAACCCATTTCCCACTTAATCTCTCATAATCACCAAGAACTCGGAGCAAGGTATCACACTCCTGGCGATAGGCACAGAGAAACAAATAGGAATCATCTGCGAAGAACAAGTGAGAGACCACCTGATAGACCGTCATTTACACATGTTTTTACCCCCATTCTTACACCGTTTGAGGTGTTGATTCTCGTGTTTTAGGCCGATTTCACGCTAGGTTGTGCTTGTTTGTGATATTTCAGGTCCTAGTACGTGAATGGAGGCTTGGGAGCGAGTCTGGGGTCGATTGGACGAAGATCGGACGCGTGGCGAGGTGTCAAGGAAGCTGCACGGGCAGACCGTGGCATCACACGGTCGTGCAAAGGCCAAGCCAGGCCGTGTGGGATTGTGCGAGAGAAAACACGGGCACACACAACCTTCACACGGCCGTGCCATTGAGCACTCTGGCCGTGTGATTTCTGCCGAGGCCGAGCACGGGCAGACTGGATTTCTCACACGGCCGTGCAACCCTGGCCGTGTGAGAAGCCTGAGGATCGAACTAAACGACACGCTGCGTTTTGAGCCGCACGGCCAAGTGGGTGAGTCACACGGCCGTGTGGCCTGGCCGTGAGAGTCGGGAAATCCTGGTTTTAGAGCCTATTCCTAGCCAAAAGTGGGAGAATCGAGTTTTCAGAGCAAAAACAGAGCCCTAGAGAGAGAAAGTACGAAGAACACATCCTAGAAGCTATCTTAGAGCTGGATTTCATCGAATCGAGCTTGGAGATCGTCATAGGAGTGGAAATCATCGTCCCGGAGCAGATTTTCCTCATCGTTATGAGTATGACTAATCCGATTACTGTTTTCTCTTCTCTCTCTATGGAGTAGAACCCTTCTCTCACTTGGGTATGAAGAACCCTAGTTCCTTGTGTTAGGGATTTGATTGTAATGACTTGGGATGATGTTACTGTTTGATTTTAATCGAATGATGCATGTTTATTGAATTGATTGGAGTCTGATCAGCTTTTCTCAATTTCTGCTGCAACCTGAGATAGATAGAATCTTATTAGGTTGTTAGAGCCTCTTCATTCGATAGTAGGAGATTGGCTATACGAGAGTTAGCCAGTTCACTGCTTTGTACTGGTGTTCTTGGCGCCAGTAGTGGAGTTCTGTGTTCATAGCCTCAGCTTTCTATCCCGGTGAAGACTAGTCGTCTGCCGGGTAGTTAGACTGAGAGGGCTTGGTCAGCTTAAGAGATTCCAAGCTACTGTCGGATCTTTCGCAGTCTAATCAACAGTAAATCAACCCAGGGAATTACAATTGAACCTAACTAAGGGGCTAGGGGGACTCAATCCCGAGTTACTCTTTCCTGACTTTGAAAACCGTACAATTTACTGCTTTCTTGTTGCTTTTGCTTTTAACAACAATCACTCGAACTAGTTTGCTAGATAATAGAGAATCACGGAGTAAGCAGTAGATCTAGACCCCGGGTTGATAATATAACTTGCCTGTTACTGCATTCCCGGACTGCGATTACGCTTGCTCGTAGTTTGGTGTTGTGTTTTGGCGTGTCAAGTTTTTGGCGCCGTTGCCGGGGACACCTCTAGATTATTGGGGAAACGTGAGAATTTATTACTCTAGCTTTTATTTACTGCATTTTACCTCTTCCACCTGTGTGCCTTCACGGGTTGCTTCTGCTGATTGTGTGCAGGTAGTGCATGACCCGTAGCCAGTCGGGAGATCTACTACCATTAGACCAGGAGCTTGAACGAACCTGCAGGAACTCAAAGCGGGCTCTAAAGGCGCGACTGGCTGCGGAGAAGGCGCTCTCACAGCTGCAGATCGGAGAAGAATAAGAAGGAGAGATGGGTGATCCGCAGAACCACGAGGTGATCAACCCAGATGAGCAGACCATGGGATCTTACTGGACCGCTAGGGCTGCGGACATGAGGTCACCCATTCAACACCCTCATGTCCCTGCCAACAACTTTGAGGTGAGCACCTCAGTCATCACTATGCTGCGTGGTTCAGTGGTGTTCCGTGGTAAGGAGGGAGAGTGCCCTCGATCACATCTCAGGCGATTCCACGAGCTCATCGATGGAATCAAGATCAATGGGGTACCGGCAGATGCCATCCAGCTGAGGTACTTCCCATTCACTTTGGAGGGGCAGGCCAAGGAGTGGCTAGACACTCGACCTCCGGGCTCCATCACCACGTTCGCCAACCTGGCGGACAAGTTCCTCACCCGTTACCATCCTCCATCCAAGACAGCTGACCAGCAGAAGCAAATTACACATTTTTCTCAGGATGAGGATGAGACCATTAGGGATGCTTGGGAGAGATACACCAGCCTCTTTCTCAGGTGTCCCAATCATGGTTTCAATGATGCATTCAAGGTGGGCACCTTCTATCACGCCCTCTTCCCGGAGGACAAGCAGCTGATTGATTCGGTTTGTGGCGGGAACATGCTGACAAAAACCCCGCCACAGCTGAATCAACTCTTGAGGAGATGGCAGAGAATGGGTACGACTGGGGCACTGCCAGGAGATCGAGACGAGCACCTGGACGGGGTGTGCATGCTGTGGGCACCCAGTCGTCTGATTTGGTGCAGGTGGTATCGAAGCTGGTTTCAGCTATCGATCATTCTGGTTTGATTGCAGGTACAGGACAGCCACAGGCGATGCACTGCCAGTGGTGTGAGAGCTCTCATCACACCGTGGAGGACTGTCAGGCGATGAGGGAGTCGTCCAC